GGATTGCGTACCAGAATACCTGCCCATAGATCGTTCCACTTGGGCTTCTCGACCTTGAAGGCCTGCTCAAATGTCTGCTTCTCGTTTAGCTCGCCATATGCAGCGTCCTGAGGCACATATTGCTGGTGCTGGTGCTGGGGCTGGGGCTGGGGCTGGGGCTGGTGCTGGTAGTTAGCATCCCCTGGCGGCTGACCGGTGCCAGCGCCGGGGTTGTAGTAGCTGGCGGCTTCGCCCATCGCTTGTAAAGGGTACCTGGTCGATAGCTGGCGATGGCTGAGCTGAAGGATGGAAAGACAAGCGATTACGGCGCAGGATAACACGAGTAATCAATAATGACGAAGCAAGCGAGCAAGCAAAAACTGCGACGAAAAGAAACAAGCTTGGAAGTCGGCTTGGCCCTTCCAGCCGCAGTGCCAAGACTACGGCTCGGCAAGGGAAAAAAGCTTGGCTCGCCACTCTAAGCTGACGAAGATGAAACTCGAGATGCCGGGCGGGCGGAGGATGAAGTAGACAGCGGTAGTAGACAGACAGCAGACAGACAGTCGACGGTGGGAGGGAGAAGTTGAGAACCAGCGTTGTTATGTCCCTTGGGTGGCGTGTTGCTGAGGTGGGAGTTTTTCACAGCCAAAGTCACAACCATGGTCCAAGAGGATGTTCGGAAGATACATCCTCGACAATGAGCAGCCTTCACAGGCAGATAGATACCCCTTTCGTTTGCTTGTTGTCCGAGATAGAGAAGTCGTTAGCAAGAGGCCTGGACATCTGATGGACAGAGGAGTCGATGAATTACCGCGAGACGACCTACTCAGAGACGCATGCACCTTGCATCGCAGCCCATCGCATTGAAAAGTAACTGGTTCATGAGATGCAGCAGGAGATGCAGCCCATGAGTCTTGGGTCGTCCATCACTCATATCAAGGACTCGGTGGTCTGCATGATTCTCCGTCTTATATCCGCGTAGACAGCAGCATCACGTTGTATATCCGGCTGTTCCTCCGAGGTGGTGAGGACCAGTGATAGTGCTGCAGGAGACGGTGCTTTGCGAGATAGACGTGCATTATCAAGACTGTCATGTAGTGCAAAGAATGATACTGTGTATCTTTCCCTATTGTCCTGTCCAGAGCCATTAACTGCTCCATGCTACCATGCTCGAACGTCATTAGCGTGTCGAGAGACGGGTTAGAAGTCAAGGTTGTGCTTTGACGGATAAAGTCCGCCAGCTTACCAACAGCAACGTCATCTCTGAAGCTCCGTTGTCTTCTCGACTGTCTTCACTGGGGCGTCGAGCGTGCGTTTTCGACGGATAGAGAGGGCGTAACTCGATCTCGATTTTGTGCTGCAGCGGGAGGCCCTCGTGGTGTCGCAGGCAGGTTGTTGGCTCCGAGTGCTGGCACTTGCGTTGCTTGCACTGCACACGCTCGCGAGCATCTCTTTATGTTGCCATCGCACTTGGAACTGCTACTGGAGACAAAGAGACAAGGAGACAAGGAGACAAAGGCCAGGGGGTGCCGGAGTTTATGCAGCATGTTTGAGGGCTAGGTGACACCGCACTTGCAAACGCCCGGCTGGGGAGAACAAACACCCAGAGGAGGCCGGCCAGCGACAGCGACAGCTTCGCTATTCCAACAACTTCCCACTGCCCTCAAAAGACATCGTTGGTCTTTCGCAGGTCTCCTACAAGCACCCTAGACGGGCTCGAGGCTGTTCCCATCATTATGGCTGGTGGCACCGTTCTTCCCGTGCCTGGCCAGCGGAATATCCTTATTACCAGCGCTCTACCGTTTGTGAACAATGTCCCACACCTTGGAAATATAATCGGGTGTGTCCTTTCTGGGGATGCATTCGCGAGGTACTGTAGAGGACGCGGTATCAACACTCTATATGTCGGTGGTAAGCCGGCAGTCTATGAAATTATCCTCTGGTTAAAACAGCAGCCCCTGACTCTCAACTCTCACTAGGGGCGGATGAGTACGGCACCACAACGGAGGCAAAGGCCCTGGCAGACAATTGCACGCCACAAGAACTCTGCGACAAATACCACGCGATTCATGCTGAGATATATGAGTGGTTCAACATCAGCTTTGATATCTTCGGCCGCACCACAACGCAACTCCAGACCGAGATTACCCAGGACATCTTCTTGAAGCTGGAGAAGAATGGGTTCTTGGAGGAGCGCATGACTACCCAGCTGTACTGCGAGGAGCATCATTCATTTCTTGCAGATCGCTTTGTGGAAGGCGAGTGCCCCGGCTGTGGCTATACCGATGCCCGCGGCGACCAGTGCGATCTCTGCGGCCAGCTCTTAGAGTCCCTGCAGCTCAGAAATCCGCGTTGCAAAATTGACGGCTCTACGCCTGTCACCAGGGACACGAAGCACATTTTCTTGGAGTTGGATAAGTTGCAGGCCAAGGTCGAAAATTTCTTCCGTGACTCTACTACGAACGGTTCGTGGTCGAATAACGGCGCTATCATCACTGCATCTTGGCTCAAAGAAGGACTGAAGCCACGCAGCATTACCCGAGATATTAGCTGGGGAACAAGAGTTCCATTGTCGGGCTATGAAGACAAGGTCATATATTCATGGTTTGATGCTTGTATTGGATACGTATCTATCACTGCTCGCTATACCGACCAGTGGAAGAGATGGTGGCGTAACCCCAAAGACGTTCAGCTATATCAGTTCATCGGCAAAGACAATGTTATCTTCCACTCCGTGATATTTCCTGCCTCGCAAATTGGCACGGAGGATACCTGGACAAAACTCCATCACCTGTCCACGACAGACTACCTGACTTACAAGGGCGGGAAATTTTCCAAGTCTCGTGGTATTGGGGTCTTTGGAGACTCAGCCCAGAAGACTGGGATCCCTGCTGATATCTGGCGCTGCTTCTTGCTCTCCCACCGCCCGGAAACTGGTGACAGCGAGTTTACCTGGGACGCATTTGTCAATTGCAACAACAACTTGCTCCTCAAAAACTTGGGCAACTTCGTCAGCCGTGTTCTGAAATTTGTCAACTCACGTCACTACAACAATATCGTGCCGAACTGGACCCAGTACCACGAAGGCTCCTTTGCTACTTCAAGGGAGAGACTCCTTTGCTACTTTCAAGGGAGAGATCAACAGGCTCCTCACTCAATACAACCGAGAGCTTGATGCCGTCAAGATTCGCTCAGCTTGGTCGACGGTTCTCCAGATATCCCAGCAGAGCAATGGATTTTTGCAGCTGAATAGGCTGGACAACAGCCTTGCAGAAAATGAACCGTCTAAATGTGCGGCAGTTATTGGCATAGCCACCAACACTGTCCACCTTCTTGCGTCACTTATTGCCCCATACATGCCGGACACAGCCAATTCCATCAACGCACAGCTCCGCGCTGATCCACTTCTCATCCCAGACCGCTGGAATGCAGATTCTATCAAGCCTGGTCATGAGATTGGCAGGGCCGAGCACCTGTTCACTCGTATCAAGCCAGAAAGGGCAGATGAATGGCGAAAGATGTATGGCAGCGACGAGACGAAAAGGGCCAAGGAGGAGGAGATTGCAATAAAGGCGAAGCGAAAGACGATGACAAAGGTTGCGAGGTCAGGGAAGCCAAACGAATCGTGCAATATCAACAAGGAAGAAGCTGCGGTGCCCAAGGGTTGATAACAGACCACGGGAGAAAGCAAGAATAGACGTAGATGCAATACATAATATTGGCTTCGCATCTAAGGGGAGCTGCTTGTCGTTGTAAAAAGGTTAATCTTCCAAGCTGCATGGTCCATGAGGCTGAACTGAAAAGGGATATTAATAAAGAGATCGTGCACTGACCCATAATGGTATATACGGTGGAGCGACGACAGTGTTCTCAAATATACGCGGGAGACACTTAGTTAACTAGTTATTTCAACTCTTGGTCCACAGCTAGTTGAAGTGAAGCCCAGCCAACCAACCAACCAACTTAGTTATGAGTTACATGACTAGTTACTGGTCAGCAGGAGAGCGGCGCTTAAAGCTTTCAACCTCGATTGGCCAAGGAAAATTGGTTCCTCCATGACTCATTGTTAATATTTTACTCCGGGCCACATGGAGAGTGAGAGTTGAAAATAGAACTCGCATGGGAAGAGAAATCCTTGTCATCAGCTCCTTCATCAACTACCCAGACTGTCAACGACAACCCCTGCGTAGTTACAACGGGCACGGGGCGGAGTAACTAACTAGTTAACTAGTGGAGCATGTCCATTGAACTCACAAGCCTCGTCAGAGTGAGCCCAGCTCGGCGGTTAGTTAAAGTCAAACTTCAGCTCTGCCTAACTACCATTAGTGTGGGCTCACTCCTTTTGGTGTAGTGGCAGACTTTGACAGTTAAAACTACCAGAGCTACCGGTGTGGGGAGGCCCTTTCTCATGTTCATGACCACAACACCTCCTGATATCCGCCGTTGTTAAGATACTTGCAACTCTCTAGTTAATGAAAAGACCTCTCATTTAGCAGTCTATCCAATTATTGAGTTTCCTTTTCTCATCCACCGAAAGCTCGAAAGCCGTACGAAGACTCCAACAGAAAGCAGGACTCCCCTTATTGGTCTCAAACGCTAGCTCTTAAATTTCTCATGCATGCACACCGTAAACCCCTAGCCGCTTCCCAGGCAGCATCGGACTTGATCGTGGCCAATGAGTTGTTCGCCTTTTCACAACGCCGCAGGCCCGCAGTCACGGCGCCTAAAGAGCTTCCAATCACGGCGTCATCCAACTCTAGGTGGCAGCGTCGTCTTCTAGCACCACCGTAGGCAGCATTGGATATCAGTGTGTTAGGTCCACCCGCGGGGGATTGGCTGGCACAGCAGACCACATGCCGTGTGCCTGCTATTATTGTTTGAAAGACCTTCTGTCCCTCGCTTTAGTTGAACATCAGCCAATAGTTTGCGGCTGGGAATATCAATATGATGACACCAAGAAGAGCCAGTTCATGCCATGAGACATGCCCCTGTATTTATGGCTTTAACCAATAATACCCTTTCTTGATTTGTTAGGAGGGGGATAAGATATAAAAGGGCTTCCAGGGCTCTGAGCCTTCGACTCATCTCATTTTCTAGCATTTCTCAGATCAGGTATTTGGATACCAAGCAGCAAGTACGTGCCTTTTCATCAGTTATCTCCTCCTTGTCTTTTTGTACATGCTAACATAAGTTGAATAACAGTTCGCAGCAGCAGCCATTGGCGGGAAAAATTCAGCATTCATAACTACCACTCGCTTTCGAGTAAGTCACCGTTGATGTTGGAGGAGACAGAGTGTTCAGAGTCGAGTCACCTAACTAATACAGCAGCAGGATGTCAACCAGCTCAGGGAAAAAAGGCTGGTGTAAAGTCTGCCAGCATCTCAATGACGCGCATTCCTATTATACCTGAACCGTCGTAGGCTGCCGGAAGGTGTTCAAAATATGCCAGACTGGAAGCCACACCGACATCGATGACAACGCCTATGTTTTGTGCCAGTGGTGCCCATCTCATCCTTACAGCTGCCAGCACGACGTCACCAATATGCGCCGCCTATATCCGTACAAATGAAAAAATAACTATCCCGGTATCAAGGATGGATGACTTACGGCTCCGGAGGGGTACGGGTAGTTAACTAGTTACAGAAATAACAAGGGTTAATTAAACGATTTGCCAGGCGTTGTTTTACCACTTAACTAGTTACTTAAGTTAACTGTTACTCTTTGTATGTAATGATTCGTTGCCTTCGTTGCCCAATTCAGGTTATGCGCCAGTCAAAACTTAGTTTAAACTAGTTAGTTGTCAGGGACGAGCTACTGGAGTCTGGTTAGTTACTAAACTTAGAATTGTAATATTAATTGTTAGGGTTACTAGTTAGTTACAAAGCTAGTTAACTAAACACATAACAAACTTAAAATACTCCCCAGTCGCTGCATCTGGGGTGCTTCACCTAGCTTGTACAAGAAGATGCATCAGAGGACTGCCTCATCTCAAGCATGCTCACACTTCCAGCTCACTCTCTAGCATTACCTTTCACGATGGAATCTGAAGACGCCGTACGTCCAAGTCCAGAAAGCTGTCGCGCTGTGTATGAAAACGGCTTTTGTACCTGGACAAGGCTTCTCTCTCGCGCTCAGCTAGAGCCTGGGCTGCCCAAGATCTGCTTCCACATACAGCCCGCACTTCAAAATACACCCCCATTGATCCATGAGTTGGACCTGAAGTGTCAATACAATCGTCTCTACGCGGCTGGCACGTCGATCTGGGAAACTTCGCGCGGCCAATGCAAGTTACCTCGTGTGGAAAGGGGACTTACGCTCGCAGTCTCTATCGACAATCCAACACAGCTTGCTCTCTCTCAGAACCAGGAACCGATATATCAGAAATGGTTTAATCATGGAGACAATCATCTTTCCGTGCTGATATCGGCGTGGAGCTACATATTCTCTGCGCGTTGGGTGGAGCTTATGCCGGGAGCCGAGATGGCATATACTGCAACCCACGCGGACTATGCCAGCCTCAACACGGGAGATGGGCGGACCAAAGTCATGGTAGACGTAGGAGACGTCGATGAGGATACCGCCAGATGGTGGGCTGCTGTCTTGTCTCCTGGAGAGGGATGGCAGGCCTCCCTTACGTGGGAGAGTGCAATAGTTCGATCCCCTTGGTCGACTGCTTTGGAATCAGTCGAGCAGTATACCCTTTCCTGCCGTGCTCCTCTGTGTTATACACCAACTGCCCCGCCTTCTTTTACTACTGCGGCTCGGTTTCTCGCGGAATACTGCAATCTACACAACATTGTTGACCAGGCTGTGGCCGCGCTCTCATCAGTTTTATTCCTCCCTATGCTAAATAGCAAGAAAACCCCAGTGTCACTCCCAAGGCCATTTTTTCATGAGAAGCCGAGCCATCAATCAGCCGTGCCGGAGACCAAAGAGCCGAAGCAATGTGGCTTTATATTGGATCAGATAATGCCAGAGTTGGACAGGTTATTGACATTGAGTTGCAACACACGAGGACTGCTCTCTCTTTTGTCGAGTGTATTTTACGAACCTGGGATACCTTGCAATGCCGTAAGCCCATGGACGCAGGCTATATTTGCTGTTCTTGACTCTGTCGAGGAGAGCCATCTACTTGGTTATATTCTGATGCATCGAGTCCCGCAAGTTTCTTTCCTTTGGCTCGGTGGTATAATCACGGGTACTCAGAAAAATATCCTCCGAGAAGGTCGATACGGTATAACATCAATTGAACCCCATGCCGCATCATGGTGTGGCGTCACACAATCGTTTATACAGGCGCCTGTATCGCAACCACTAATCACTAATGGAGCACTTTCAAGATCGGATGAGTGCCGACTTCTCTATCTCAGCCAAGCAGAACTGAACCGTGGGTGGCCGCTGGTTCCATGGATGCCCTTTGGTACCACAGTGCTCGAAGATGCCGAAATTGAGGTTCGTCTGCACACACAATGTACTGGTCACGATCTGCAATATGCGGATTGGTATTGGGCCTGTCGAGACAGCAAACGGGTACATCCAATATGCGTGATAGCCACTATGCCTACCTTTACACTAACGGAGGACCTGCCAATAAATATACCGATCAGCTATGAAGCTCTGAATCCAGAGAACGAATCAGCGTCACAACATGCTACACGAAATATTTTTATCTGGCTCCGGAATAATGAATTCTCGGCACGCGAGCAAGGAATACGTAACCACGACTGGGTGGCTTTTGATGAATCCGATGATGATTCACTACTCTCGAAGGAGTCATCAAGGAGCGATAAAGCCTCCGTGCTAAAGGCAGTGGAAGACTGGATATTAAATTCATGTTGACTTAGGATGTTACATTTACAATAATCTATACTCTCTATTCTATATGAACTGCAATATATAGTGCCGCGATAAGATAACTATGTTGTCTTGCCTTCTCTAACCCGGAGAAATGCACTTTCGGGTGGCTCTGCTTGCGATGGGAACGAAGAAGGGAAATCCTGCAGAGGCGCTGATGATAATATTATCGCTTTTCTGTCTCTCTTCTCCCTGCCAGTCCCAGAAACCGCCCATATATGCGACTACACGGCCCCACTGCTAGTACAGACTAGGATTCTGGAGCCTTCCTCTTAGCCGTTGAATGTTGGTCTCGTCGAGGTACTAGCAATGCAGCACTCGCTTACGAATCTCGGATACTGGCCGCAAGAGACAGAGAAACCAGAAGGGATATCCATAGCAGTGCAGGACCATTGCTATCCTGCTGCAGAAGATGCAGTCTCAGCCACGGAGAGCCTCTCACTCTTCCCGCTAGCTGGCGACGAGCGTGTGTTCGCAAACTCCACTGATCCCTGCTCCATCTGCAGTCTTGATAACAACAGGGAGAGGCCCAACCCCTGGCCGGCCGGTCGTCTTCCCCCTTTTCGACTACACATTAAGCGTAGGTCCAGCCCGGGAACCCGTTCCGGCGAAGGAAGACTCTCATTACTTGCCTAAAGCCAGCCTAGCAGCCAGCTTCAGTGCGCTGCTACTTACCCGATGTCCAAATAAGTAGCTTCCTGGATATTACAGGACCCGCAGAAGTAACCCTAGCTACTTGCATAGAGAAAATGGCAGGCCAGGCTGCTCTTCGCTACGGGCCTCCGTCAATGATATAACGACTCTCTCTGCAGCCAGTTATAGACTACGCTTTTTGGTCCAGCTGGCTGGCAGCCTCAACACCCCTATATTTCTCTTCTATCATCTATCATAGATAGCACGAAGCTGTCTCCTTGGATATCAAAACCACACCGAGACTCCTCCGTAAGCCAGGGAGAGACAAATACCCCTGATTCAAATAAAAATGGATATTTGGGTCTCGCATGCTCTTTTTCGTTCTAAAGGCAAGGAGATGTGGGGCTTCCATCCAGCCGTTAATGATAATGATAATTTATAATAATAACTGGTATTATGGGCTGTGATAGCTAGCAAAAGGGGTCGGTGGATGGATATCCACCTTAGCTATTTCAAGAGGTATAAATCATCTTCCACATTCCCAAAATCAAGAGCAGTTTTCTATCTTTCTGAACTCCCAAGTCTCTGCCATCTCCCAGTCACCATTCTGCTGCCTTTTATTCCACTGCTGCATTGCATTAACTACGTTTATGGTAAATGGCAGATAATACTTTACCTGCAACTCTTCCATGCCTGCGTTGTTTGATAAGTATGTATTCATACAGGAGAAAAGATCCGATACGATTGAATATCAATTGTCAGCGACGCCGATCTCCTTGTTCTCGCTGTACTGGACTTGATGATGATGGCTGTGCTAGTGTAAGTAATTATTTCTTTCAATGTACAGAGGGAAGTTCTCACAATAACATCTTGTCCAGGTCAGCAGCCAGCTTGCCCATGAGGCGGCGGAGGTAAACAGAGTGTACGAGGAGCTGCAGCAGTACCACATGCTGGGGAGAGCCATGACAGCACACGATCAAGAAGCTGTCAGAGTAATAACCCAGAGGTTGATTGCAGCTCACAACCGTTTTATGTCCAGAAAACGGTTTCTCTCTGACACGGGCCAAAGCATAACCTCGGAACCTGTCTTGCGTCCAAATAAGGGGTTTATGCAACTACTAAAGTACGAGGTCGACTTAAATTGGGGACTTCGCCCTCGCAACGCCAGCACCAGTCGATCTGGCACAAACGCGGGTGGTAGTCGATCTGGCACAAACGCCAGCACCAATCGGCCTAGCACAAACGCGGGTGCCAGTCGATCTGGTACAAACGCGGGTGCCAATCGGCCGGCGGCAAACGCCAGTACCAATCGGCCTAGCACAAATGCGGGTGCCAGTCGGCCGGCAGCAAACGCCAGCACCAGTCGGCCTAGCACAAATGCGGGTGCCAGTCGGCCGGCAGCAAATGTGAATCCCGAGCCAAGGGAAGGAGAGAGCAACACCAGGGAAGACACTCTCCCTGGCAGAGCTGAAGGGTTTAGGGAAGCACCTGGTTCGAAACCTAACTTTGTCAATTCCTTGATAAAGTACAACCGGGCATTTCTTGAGTCCTACCGGATATTGCTTGACGGCAGTGAGTTATTGCTGGATTCAATTGTCCAGGAGCAGCAGGATATCGTACCCACACGCCAACCTCGCTGTCCTCACATCGCTGTGGTTGTTCCACCTCCCCCTGCTGCTCCCGCTGCCACTACCCCTGAGTCCCGCGTTCTTCGGTCGTCAACATCGGCTCGGAAGCGTCAGGCTGAACCGGCTTCTCAACCATCCAGTTCAAGGCGTCGAGTGCTTTGATGCGCCGTTTTCTGGGCCGCGGGCGACTGTGGGATCTCCCAATGGATCTTTTGGGCTGACTGTCTCGTTGTACTCTATTCTCCGCTGTGGCTATCTCTTGTCTTTTGTCGTTCTTGTCATCTTCAAGTTTTCGTCGTGGCTTTCTGTCTTATCTGGATTCATTGTGATGGTTGTTGTTGAAATAAGCTGTAATTTAGGCTTCTTATTTAGTTCATTGGTTTTGTTTTTTTCCGCATTTCTGATTGCTCAGAGTTGGCTTGGCGCAGGATTAACTCGTCCTATTGGATGCCGCCATTATTGCAAACACAGCCTCATTGTAGAGTATCAACGCACGTTTGTAGGTAGCTGGGGGGAGGATCTACAAATCCCCTAGCTTTCATATTATAGAATCTCCGTCGAGAAAAAGCTGCATGGGTAGTAAGGTGAAGCAGCAGCAAGCCCTGTAGCGACATCGATGCCAAACATATCGTCCGTGAGAATCACACAGGCAAGCCGTCACGATATTCGACCCCTGATAATACGTTTAGACGGTATGTTGCTTTTGATAGTCAACCGAATGAAGCAGAAACTGGTAATTGCCCCTTATTAACCGGTTAGTTATTTCGTCGATGGGTTAGTTGGCTAGAATATAACCAGTTCACGAGCAAGCCAACCTCCTATCTTGAGCCTCAGTGTTTGGGTCAACCAGATTGTTAGTGAGATACCTTGCAAAAAGCCCACGCTTGTACTCAGCATTATATTGGACATGCTGCTGGCACTGCCTATTAACTGGTCATAGGGATGGAGCAGTGACGGATAAGGGCCAGCGGCTTGGGTCCGTTGGCACTGAAGCTCTCGTCCCAGCCGCCCCCACCCGGTTGTTTAGGGAGACAAAGGAGACGGAAAGAGGCGGGCAAGCTGCAGCAAGAGTTGCTCCGTCGTTAGGGGATCTTAGTGTGGGTTTTTCTGGGTGGAGGAAGATAGATTCGGCACTATT